GACTGATCTTCACGAAAATGCATTCGTTTCTTTGAAAAGCGCGCTTACTACAGCTCCAACTCTTGCATCTCCTATAATAGGCAAGCCGTACATTATCCACACGGATGCTTCGACTACAGGTCTAGGAGCGTGCTTACTTCAGCAAAACCCGCAAACGCTAAATGAGCATCCAATTGCGTACTGTAGTCGCCCGCTGAATAAGCATGAGCAAAATTACTCAATCATAGAGCTTGAGGCGCTTGCCATAGTCTTTGCGCTCAAACATTTTTACCCATATGTTGCTAATGCCTCTATCACACTTATTACTGATCATGCTCCGTTAAAGTCACTACTGTACAGATCAGACCTTGTTGGACGTTTAGCAAAATACCAAATCATGATACAAGCTTACGATCTGAAAATTGAATATCGGCCGGGTAAACATAACACTTTTTGCGACTTTTTGAGCCGTTATCCGGTAGTAATGAACATTTCTACTGCTCCCGACTCAATTCCTAGCTTAGATACCATCAGGGAAAGCCAGCAAAATTCTTATTTTGGAAGTTTGATCACCTTCTTAACAGGGAATGCTGAAAACCCTCCACAGCAGTTTTTGAGTTCATTAGACAAATATTCCATTTTCAATGGTGCATTGTACTATAAGGCCAACGAAAGACCAAAACTTGTTATACCCGACTCTGAACTTCAAAAGCAGATCGTAAAACTTCTTCATGATAATCCTTTGCTAGGTTCCCACTTGGGAATTCGAAAAACGTACATAAAGGTCTCGGATAAGTACTATTGGCCAAACATGCATCAGGATATCGCAAATTACGTTAGATCATGCGCAGCCTGTCAAAAGGTGAAAACACCAGCAGGAAATATCATTCGCGAGGAACTGGGAACTTTTCCCATTCCTCAGCGTCCTTTTGAGCGTATCCACATTGATGTAATAGGACCATTGCCGCAATGTGTTGATGGTAGCAGATTCATAGCTATCACAGTCTGCGCTTTCAGTAAGTACATTATCTGTACGCCTTTAGTGAATCAGACGGCTGACTTAGTAGTAAAAGCGCTCATTAACGATGTGGTATCCAAGCACGGGATCCCTAACGAAATCGTTAGCGATAGAGGCTCAAACTATGTGAGCGAAATTTTCACTCAGGTTAACAAAACTCTGGGAATTGAGAACAACTTTACCACAAGCTACAACCACAAGGCGAACGGCCAGGTTGAAAGAATGGTAAAAGTTGTTACGGATTCTCTCACAGTCTACTGCTCAGAAGCCAGAGACTTGTGGACAGAATTCCTGCAGCCCATCGTTTTTGCTTACAATTGTAGCAAAAACGATACGACAGGGTACAGCCCGTTCTTTGTGATACACGGTAGACATCCGGTCACATGGATGGACGTTGTTCACAAATTACCTTCTACTCTTACTTTTGCCACAGATAACTTCGCAGGCCAGTTCGCGACAGCCTTGCAGACTACGATTGTGGAAGTAGGATCCAGCATAGCAGCGAAAACAGCTGACTACAAAGCTGGTTACGATTACCAGAAGAAGGTATACAGTAAGGACCTTTCCATTGGGGATCTTGTATTGTTGCATGACGACACAGTGCGTCCCAAATTTTCCCTTCAATGGAAAGGCCCATTTGTGATTGTCTCCATGTGCCGTCCCAATGTTACCATTAAAAGTCTGTTCAACAATAAGTCACAAACGGTGCATGTGAACAGACTCAAATTGTATTACAGCAGGCCGCAGGAGCGTGAAGTCTCTGTGCAACCACAATCTAGCCACACAGAGGCAGAGACTCCACGTTCTAGTGAGCCTAATCTCAGACGTTCAGAGCGTCTGAGACAAGCAACGGATTGGACTCCCTCGTAATGAGCGAAAGGTGCCAGTAGCAACCTCACAAAATTCATTAACGCAGCGGCTACTGGTACGAAGTAAGTTTGCCGCAAGCATACGCACTACAAAAAGAAAGAATTTTTCGATTGGCGGGTCGAAAAACGCTTTCAAACACTTACTTTTCCCTTTACGCCCTTGTGAGCAACGCTAGGAAATTGTTTCCTCTCGAGTTGTGAGCTCGATAACCAAATGTTGTGAAATACCGATGCATTTATGTTGATATTTGTCAGTAGCGAAAACATAGAATTACGTATTCTATCTTTTCGTTCAACATTTCATGTTTTACTTTTGAATTCCTTCTTGTTGTAATGTTTATACCATTTTTTATGTGTGATTTCATCCATCCTGCAAAATCCCTCACGATATTCATCCTCTTATTCAATTCCATATTGAACAACAATCCATTCTGCTTCAACGTATATATGTCTTCCGCTCGAGGACGAGCTTTACTTTATTGACGGGACGTACGGGAGCGTGCGCTTCGCCTTCTGGCGTTCGCCCTTCTGTTTACCTTGTCTCTTACCGGCTCCTCCTCTATGCAACGTGAAGACGCAATCCAGCAAATGCAACCCAACGATGAAGTTCGATTCCCCCACGATGACTTCAATTCCCCCCCTCCCACGATGAAAGCAAACCGCGAAAAGATGCATGGTTCTTGATGAGATGAATGGTATAGCAACGATCAATACTCGAGCAATGATGATCGATACGCCAGCAATCAATCAACGACATCAAACAGACTAGAATTCAATCGATGACGATACGACAACAAGCTAGAAATCGATCAATGATGATGGTTGATGACGACATGACGATGGTGATGATGATGATGGTCAAATGGTCAAACGTGCACCCCGAGATGATCAAAAGTTACATGGTTTTTTCTCTTCCCGAACCATGGTCAAAGATGAAAGCTCGAGGACGAGCTTTGCTAAGGAATGGACATGTCGAGACGCAGAGTAATTAGATGGTCCGACAGTCTCCACGCCAATTGGGCGGTGCCCAGAATCTTCAGATGAGCTGGCACCCCCCGGGTGCTCGGTGGTCCCCTCCCCATTAATGTCCCCCATTTTGATATACATAATATAGAGATAAAATCATCTAGTCAAGAACTGTTCTGTTAAGATGCAATACAACAGGGTAGAGGGATCAAGTCCCGAGAATAGCTAACTCGTTAGACTTGACACTCCATATTTATTTTATCATAGCATAGGACTACTCTTGTATAGTTTTATTTTACAATATCAGTAAATATGCATTTGTATTAAACATTCATTACAATGTAATAAACAATTTATCAAGAATGTAGGGAATAATTCATTGTAGAAGGAGTTAAGAGTGCTTCTTCTGGCACATTATGGCAGAATTCATGTTTAACACATGACATGACTATCTCCATAAATCAGCCAGATCCAAAGCATCAGATAATCATAGAATTACTATGATCCAATTGATTAATGATTCTCTAGAATAACGTGGACGAATGCGATTCGAAAAGATAACGTGGACGAATGCGATTCGTACGAGCTACTGTAGTTGATTGTAAACGCGTCCGCCGTGGATGGGCGGCGCCTAGCGTGCATAGGCTATTGACAGACCCCTCCGCCGCCCGCCCCTTATTGCCAGCTATCGTTTCCCTTGCACCACACCCCCATAAACCTCGTGAGCTTGATAGAAGATATTGGCTCTCAACTCTGACCCAGGTTCGAAAGAGATTTATATGTCCTCAATAGCAGGTGTTTGCTCATGCGCTCCAAGGTGGAGGAGTTTTTTGAATCCTTGGAATATGAATAAACTGAATTTACTCGTTTGTCTGTTTGTTGAACCTCTAGTCTACACAATTTGGACGCTTATGAAGGACTGAGAGAGAACCTTGCTCCAGCAGTAATTCGCGCTCTATTGCGAAATCAGCCATTGGGTTGCTGTACATCTCCCGTCTCTCCACGGTAGGGGGTGGCGGGCAGGGGCAGATACATGACTTGATGCCACAAGTAAAATCCTGTAAAAGTTAGCAAGAGCGGTCCAAAATGGTGAATTGGACGCGTCGCGGAAATGCAAACCGTGCTGTTTTTCAAGCGTGTCCACTAAGCGTACTTTATGGCGAATAAATTATTCCAAATTTGTGATAATTGAGGATAAGAATATTCATGAACTCAGTCAGTGAATGTTAGTGCGAACACTCTCCTGGACAATTCTCACTCATGAAATTTTGCAGTCGAAGCTCTAACGTTTGGCCTAAACTGCTGCAATGGTGTCGACCATGACGACATGACATAAAGCACTTCACTACTACATGTGAGATGGAAGGTGCATCGTGAACTTGCTTGTATGGGTAATTCTGGTAACACAATTCCCCGTTATTTCTCATATATATATATATATATATATATATATATATATATATATATATATATATATATATACCAGTGCGGCAGAGGTTCGCACTGGCTCTACTATCTATGTGCCTTACTCATTCTCGTACATGGCACTGGAACACACCGCGCTATGCCGACTACCATGAATACAATGTAAACAACCACTCATTTAGAAAGTCTTTTCACGTGAGATCGGTGATTTCGCGTGGATGAAACTTTCCGCAGGAAGACAAACGCAAATTTGAATAGGTTTTTGGATTTGTCATGACTTGGTAGTCGCCATAAAGGTAATGATAACCGTGAGCTACATCTCTGTGCGAAAATCTTCTCAAACGCTTAGCTAGAACCTTGGCGAATTGACCATTTACACAACCAATTCGTTTTGGCGCCGTTTTCGTTGTGTAGTAAACTTTCGACCACTTTTCTGGCTAAATTCCATCGCCTGCACATTTGCTTACCAAACTCATCCACGACTCTGCAAAAAGTGGTGATACGGACCGAATTTTGCGGTAGAGAAGCCAGGTGGACCCGTTTGGCGCGCAATTTCTGAGGGATCCACTCAACGAATCTACTCGTGCTTTTGCATGTTGGATTTTCATGAAGGTAGATAGCATGCGCTATACAAAATTTGGGCTTAGAACGCTGGCGGGAACACGCTCCACGAATTTCGCAACAGACACACACACAAAGTCACATAAACACCCTTAGCCCGTTATCATAAGTCATGATATGGGATGCAACTTGGGCACTTCTGTGATCTTGAGAATCTCTACTACAAAATCCCTACTTCTGATGTTTCCACTTGTGTACTACTACCTGTATCAAATCGCATCCCATCGCGGATCTGCTCGCGCTTGGATGCCCAAGGACTATCTAAAACCACACTCGAATCAAAGATGTGCTGAAGAATGCATGAACGGAGTCCAGTGCATGCCTTTCCAATCTTATATATAAAGTTGAATGTCTGTTTGTATGTCTGTCTGTCTGTATGTATGTATGTCTGTATGTGTGTACGTATGTTCCGAATAGAAAATTCCATTTCTAAACCGATCGGGACCAAACTTAGCACACATACACTTCGGGCCCCGGCGGGTGTCATAGGCTACTTTTCGTCATCGATCGATATCGATTTTATCGATTTTTTGCAAAATTTGAGCTACGGGGCTGGGAGTTGGCACAGAGGGGTAATCGAGCATGCTGATCACCCCCGTGGGGGTGATCAGCATGCTAAAAAAATGGATAAAATCGACATCGATCGATAACGAAAAGTGGACTGTGACACCCGCCGGGGCCCGAAGTGTATGTGTGCCAAGTTTGCTCCGGATCGGCGGTTAAGAAATGGCCGAAATTTTTGAATGTGAAATGAAAATGAATGGAAATCTTGGCGATTTGGTCGCGACGATTAAGTCGCGTGAAGTCTGACCGGGGCCTAAGCCAGTTAGTTGTTTATAATAAGATTGAAGTCACCATAGTCAAGTCAAGATTAGGTCGCGCTACGGACAACATGTGTCCGAGGGCAAAGCATCGCTGCGTTGCGGTTCAGCGAGGCGTCTTATTTTCGACACGGGAGCTCAGTCTTCGTCAGGTTTAGCTGTACCGTAGCCGAATTATCCAGGTACGAACCTTGTCTTTTCAAAAAGTTGCCAATATAACTGGGAGGATATGAGTGGCTAGTCCGTTCTCTACGATAGGTAAATGTCATTAGGTGGGGTTGTGCCATATTGTTGTGGCTTCTGTGTTGGAAATGAAGTTAATTTAGACATATCTGGAAAGAACGACCACTATCATCTCGCCAGAAGTGGTTCAAAAGGTTTTGGCTAGCGGGATTGTCCTTTGATGTAAGTTTCACGTAAAGGCTTTCAGTTAGTATCTCTCATCAAGTTTAGATTTCCTATTCACAAATGTGATGGATGTCCACTCTTCTTCACCCACTTCCGCAGAATGTGAGTTTAGTCAATTCATGCCAATTTCTACCTAGTTTATTATGTCAGATTCACAACATCTCTCATTTTTTATTTTTTTGTATATAAAGAAACAAAGAGGTATATTTGTATTAAACAACTGTTCGTTTTAGGTGTAAGGATTTGGGTCGTAAGGTGGTAGAATTGGGCATGTTTTCTGTATATGTTAATATTGATTTGGTAATCAGCAGGCTCCATATATATCCTTTGACAAAACAAGAAAAATTATGAAAGTGTTGACATATAGAAATGCCACAATGTTTTGCTGATATCAGATAATGATTTTCCTGCCGCGAAGACTTCATATGTTATAGTCTTTATGAGACATGTAGCTATTCAATGTTAGCAATGCTTTTGTCTGTGGTGAAGTTGGGGGGTGTCCGGGGGAGGGTAGGACAAGAACTGCTTATTGCGTTCATTCCACCGTCCACTCTAGGTTAGGCGTCTTGAACTTTTGGAAGCTTAAATAGTAGAACCCCATATCAGGCCAACGTCTAAGTCAAAATGTCGCATCGGAAACGAGAAAACGCTTCGAAATAGAGAAAAGGCGTGAGAACCTCAGTTCGGCACCGCCCTCCTGCTGTAATGCCCGCCTACTTGTGCGCGCCTTTCCAATCACCGCTCCGGAGAACCTTCCTGCAGGCTAGTCGTATTCGATAATCAAGGACATGAGAAGGCACCGAAGCGACCAAAACAAGGAAGATGAGGATCTGGTGGATGGTGCCTCCCTCACTGACAAGGGAAGTTCACTTAGTCGAAGTGGCGATTCGGAAGGAGATCTATACCAGTGGATAGAGCTTAAAAAGCTGATTTTAGATATGCCTTCTATATCTGCGATGCGTTGTTCTGAAAGAAGTTATGAGCTTTTCTAAAGCCAAATTTTCGTGCATTTTAAATCCTAAAATCATGATAATCGCTACACAAAAGTGTGCAAGCTTAAGCAAACCGCCTAGTTGGCATTGTAGGTCTATTCGAGTTCACCCGAACGTTTTCGAGTGTTTTCCGACCCTGTTTCCCGACTATTGTTTATCCACAGGCCGTCATTTCCTCCCTACATACACTTCCATTATATATACAAAAAAAAACCCCCATAACCTCCATCTAGAAAAGCGCGTCGCAGATATTGAAGAAATATTTGAGAACATCATTTTACGTTCTATTCATTGGTAGTTTCCAAAAAGTTTCCGACGCGACACGTTTTTCTGGATGAAGGTTATGGGGCTTTTTTGTATACATAATGAAAGTGTGATCTAGAAATGAAATGACGACCTGTGGATGAACAACATGGTCAAAAAACATTCGAAAGCGTTCGGATGAACTCGAATTAGAACTAAAATGCTTAGTAGGTGGTTTGCTCAAGCTTGCACACTTTTGTGTGGCGGTTATCATGATTTTGCGATTCAAAATGCACGAAAATTTGGCTTTAGAAGAGCTCATAACTTTTTTCAGAACAAAGCATCGCAGATATAGAAGGTATATCTAAGATCAGTTTTTTAAGCTCTATCCACTGGTATAGATCTCCTTCCGAATCGCCACTTCGACTAAGTGAACTTCCCTTGTGAGTAATCAAGTTCTCCCTTTTTCAGTCAAATGGGTTTCATGCTGATCTCCATGATTCGGTGTACTCGTTGAGGAGATCATTGGCAACTCTTTTTGAGTTGATTGGTCTTCACAAGGCACTACATAGTTTAGCGCTTTTTTGTTGTTCGAGGAAATACTTGAGCATCATCGCGCTACAAATTACTGAGGCGGGCCTTATACTAACTTCTTTTAGTCCTGGGGTACTTCTAGAAGATAGGGTTTCTTGATGAATCATCGTATTGCATATTAGCAGGCATATTTGGAACTAGCTGGTTTTCCCGGTCTAGCCCGGGTCAGATCAGCTGATCTTTGCCCCCCCCCCCCCCCCCCGTCTCCTCTTCCTACCTAACCATTATGTTGCGCAGCAAGGGGGTTTCTGTATCAAAGTAACTCACCTGCTTTATGCTCGTCTTGAATCACCGCATCCTTCCTACCTCGAAAATCGAGTGAACTCCACAGCTATTGTTTACATGAAATCATGGAATTGACTTGTTAGCCGATGTCGAAGACTCATTCTTATGCCAAAAATCAATGAAAAGGCCCGGCGGATTGCCGCAAAAAGTAGCGCTGAACCACCCCCGGGGTCGAATACATATGTGTGCAAAGTTCCAGCGCAATCGGTTCATTGGCGGGCGTGTCTATAACGAAAACAACCAAATGAACACACTTACAAAGTTTGAGTTTTATATAGATACATATTAGATAAAACGATTTTAGTGATTGTAGAGTTTGCTTTTCTTATAGTCTCACTTCCTCATTTTTTGTGCGTGGACATAGTACAATTCCGGTGTAGTATGGGTTATCGACCAACGCTATTCACAAGCTATGCCATGGTTTCTGCAAACCAGTACTCGTGGTCAAAATTCGTAGGTAAAGGGTTCAGCAGATGGAGCTGATTGTAGTCGATGTTTCGAAGCGATTTCTTCTTCATGCTAGTGTTTCCTTCGCGAGCTCGATCGGCGAGTCATTTATGAACTACTTTTGTATTTTTGTAGAATCCAGGCTGCTTGTTGGAGTTGCTCGGTCGGTGGATGTTAGCGCCGTCGATCAACTGATACGAGGCGCGTGCAAGTGGCGCGGGCACGCAGCTAGCACGGTGGCACACGGCCAACTCTGAATAATTTCAGGGACGCTCAGTCTCTCGGGCTGTAGTCTGTTTTCGCTCACGAGAATGCAAAGAAATCTCACAAAATGTGGAAGTAAATGAATACCTACTTTCTTTCTATTACTGTCTGCGAATGGAGAATGAGACCCGCACATCTAATACATTCTCGCGCGGGGAAGGGATATCAAGCGAGGAATCTACTAGAATGCGAGCGACTTGCTTTGCTCGTCAGGTTCCTGTTGGGCTATTTCATCCAAGATTTCGGACCAGCGCTTACTTTGGTCGTCTGCGCTTTGCAAAACTGACCGTGGATAATAGCGGTGCTTGAGAAGATAAGGAGAGGAATGGACTTTGAAACACTTAACGGCGATTCATTACACGCAGAGACTGGGTGCCATTGCGTTCGATCAAAAAAGTCGGCTGGGAGAGATAGCAAATGGTATAAAGGCGAAAGAGCGCTTGATCAAAGAGACCCGATACGTCCGCCATCTGCGTGCGATGAGTTGCCTATATGTTTGATATACGCCTGGTGGCAAACTTCTGCATTCTAGCGCTTTTATGTGAACTACCAGAATAAGGAAAGAGTATGGTATGTGTTATTTTTCAAAATCCTTTCCCTTTGGAAATTGAGTGTTTCTAACTTGAAATAAAAAGGTTGAATCTGCGGTTTGCGGTTATTATCATTGTCTTTTTGTCCACGTTCGTTCCATAAATGATTTAAGATTCTATTCAAGCATTTCAGTAATTGATTCAGGTGGCCCTACAGCGAACGGTAGTAATGGTGAAGTGCGAGAGGGTTTACTCAAGAGTGACACTGGTGAAACACCTTCGGGAACAAGGTCTTCGGGTGGCACAACGCCTATCCGCATAATTTCCGCAATCAATCATCCCCGAGAAGGCGTTCAGTCCCATCGCCTACCTCCTGGTGTTCGAGTTGTGCGTGGATCAACAGTTTGTGGCACCAGTGGAGTGCGTTCACCCACTCATCATGTGCGTACAGTATTGGGAACTGGTGCTTCACATCCTGGTCGCATGGTGAGCTCTGGATTGCTATCATCTGGTGCAGCAGGAGGCATTCGATCGGCACCAATTCGAACAGTAGTTGGTGCAGGACAAGGTATGCGAGTTGTGCAGCAGGCTGGTCGTACTTTGATCGCTGTTCCCAGTGGTTCTCGTCTGGCTGCCACGCTTTCGTCGGTTGCGGCGAGAGCAGCACCCGTAGAGCTCACCACTACTGCTAACAATGTTCCAGCTATCTCTGTTGTGGACGTCAATCGGACAAAACCTAGTGACAAACTGGATTCTGACGAGCAGCTTTCGGATGGCTCGGTCAGCACCGATATTCGTGAAAGTTCTGTTGAGCTGAACGATGAAGGCGAAGTGGCCGTGCAGAATGCAAACTGCATCACGAGTGTGGATGGATCTGAAGCATCTACTTCGCAGCATGAGGAGCCATCTTTGGTGCTGTCGGAACCGACCTCCGCCTCTGAAGAGAAGGAAATGACTGGTTTGACTAGCAGTGGAATGGTTACAAGGCGCATGGCACGCGGAAATGGCGCCTCTACCAAAGCTGTTGATGCTACTCAAACAGTTGAGACTCTGGACCTAGGATACTCTAGAATGGACCTCCCACTAGCTCCTCCTCCACGCCGACGAGCTACAAAAAGGCCTAGTGGGTTTTATTTTCTTCTGTTCCTGGATCACTATTTTATCCATACTACACAGAGTACTCTCTTTCAACGGGTGAACTTGTGCGAGCGCAGTATATCCTTCCACCCGATCAACTACCTCGTCGTGTCTCAGTGCCACGTGAAGAAAATCCTTTGAGCTTGACTGAGCAGGCTCGATTGTCTCGGAGGCCGATAGTCGTTCATTCGGTAATTTTCCTTTCTTTTCATTCACCACAAACATTCATAATATTGATACTCATACGTAGAAGTTTTACTATGGGTCTACGGTTTTTTAGATTGTGAAAAATTAAAATTCTTTGTTTAGTCTGGCGTTGAGTTTGCGATCCCTATGTCGCTGGAAGCACATCCTATGAAGTTAGATGATATAGCTCCGGAAAATCCACGTGAAGACATATTACGAGGTCTGTTGATTTCGTAGGTATGGAGGCACGGCTGATCAACATTTTCAAATTCAGATGACGACGGTGTACCTTACTGTTATCTCTGTCATTCAGTTTTGAAAACATGGCAAGGCTATGAATACCATGTCATGGCTGTTCATTTGAAGTGGGTTAGATTTGTTTGCACTAGGTGTCTTGATCTCAACCTGGAGTATTACAGATATCGACCCTACCGTTGCATGTACTGTATGAAAGAGTACTTCTACACAGAAGAAGAAGGATTGAGTCATGTCCGATCTCAGCATCATGGGAAAACAGTAACGGTAATAATTTGAAGTTTTCAGATCAGATTTTATAATTTCCGATTTGTCTCCCGCGGTCTTGGATTACTTGCATGTTTTGACGTTCTGATACAGTTTTTGAATTTCCGTCTCTCTCTCTCTCTCTCTCTCTCTCTCTCTCTCTCTCTCTCTCTCTCCCTTTCTCTCTCTCTCTCTCTCTTTCTCTCTAAATTGCTTATGGTTTGCCTTGTACTTTTTCTCTACCGTGCTCCTTTTGTGCCTTTCATGGGAATGCATGTTGTATGGAGGCGTAAGTAAAATGTCACCATCACAGCTGTTGCGAGAGTACCACGACGACAAAGAAAAGCAGCTTGAAGATGCGTTCTGTGCTCTTTTCATGGCTGTCCGTGAAGGCGTGAGTATTGTCTTTTTTGTCTGCTTTGTGTTTTTCAGATGGATTATGAATTTTCAGCCAAACTTCACCGCGGAGAGAGCTGCAGCGATCGAGAAGGCGGCATTCATGCATTTGCAAAAATTCAAGCGAATGCGAATGAAAGTTCCTGAGTTTGCAACTAGAGCGAAGTCCGTAAGAAACGTTCCCAAGTTTTCGACGTTTCTCTTTTTCTTCAGGGTTATGCGAGATTTTGCGTCGCAAACTTTTTCCACCATGTCCTCTCCGAACTCCCTGCTGCCGACATTAAAATATATGTCCCACCCACGGCATCAATATGAACACTTACAACATCATCTTGAACCATTACAACATCCACAAATCTCCATGCCATTGAAAGTGATGGATGTAGAACATCCAGATGGACAGCAGAGATTTGTATGCAATACCGTTTGTGTTTCTATACCTTCCAATTTTGTTGGGTATTGCGGTCTAGTTCACTATCATGTTGAATCTACAATTTAGGTACGCATGAGTAATGGTGAGTTGGCAGAAATTAACGATCGGTACGTCATTGAAGGGGTAAGTCCTGCATATTCAATTACCCTTTTTCTCACAGATAAGTCCTTTCATCAGATAAGATTATAAGTCCTCCTTCAGATAAGTCCGCCCTACAGATAAGTCCGTTTTCCATTACAACTACCATATCTTGTCAGATAAGTCCGAAGACTGTCAGGTAATTCCGGACTTATCTGTGGACGGACTTTCTGCAAGATTCTTGGCGGTGTGAGGGGCATTTTCATCCGATTTTTTCTGTCAAAAAAACAGACTTATCTGTAGGATTTTAGGGTATATATATTTTAGTATGCGCCTTAATCGAAATGAACTTCATTTTTCTAGGAAGAAGAAGATCCCGTGGGAGAATACATCGAAGTGGATTATGTGGATGAGATAATTGAGGAGGAAGTTGGACCAGAAAGAGAGGAGCAAGAGGTGGTAGACCATTTAGATCATGCCGATGATACTCAGGCGATGGAACATCCTTACTGATTTACGTTCCTGCCAAATGTCGTTTGTAATTCCCATTTTGCTCCAGAATCGATCATTTCATGTTAACAGTACACAAAATGTATTATAAGTCTCTCAAAAAAAATTGTGGTAATTATCGTTTTTAATAGTTATATAGTCTTTACTGGAGAGTCGTTAGAGTGGTTGATTTTTACATTATACATATCCAATAAACTCAAAAAAAAAACTCATTTTCTGTGCACTCAGAGCACTGAGAGCGTTATCAGTTTTGGGTCCTTCTGTAAGTTTCGATCTTGAAGTAAACTAAATTGAAGCTCCAGAATAAGCCTTGTGGAGAACTTCTTCGTTATAGTTACATAACTTGTTATCATCAGCTATATAAGAAATCCGGTGTATCATGCTATAGCCTCAAAATTCTTTTAGCTTTATCAGGGTCTTTCCGCGACGAAGAACTGAATTTGCTGCAATCCAGCAGAGTTTTTGATGGATTGTATAGCATTGTACTAGACACAATTCTTTATGGTCGAACTGCACTATTCGTGGTCATTTGTTTTGCTCAGTTCAATTCCGCGTTGCAGATGTCTGTTCGCTTTTGGCAGAAGATGTTGTGAATACTTGATTGGTATTGTGGATAGGACAACATCTGCCAAATATAATATTATGCAGTCTCCTTTGTTGATTTCGAAGATGTGTGCGGTAATCTGCACTCCTCCAAAAGATCACATAGAAGTTTTGGCTGTAGCATATTACGGCCATGACTACCTATAAAATTTATCGTTTTAAAGGAGTACAAGTGGCTTTTTAAGAATAGCAGTCTTCTCTGTTACCGGTCTTTAGGGGTCATAATCAGGATGAGCGTGGGGTCAGGCGCGCCCGACCTAGGGGGTCGTGTTGGGGGTAAGAGCAAGGGGGGGGGGGGAGGTCGTAATCAAGAAACAATTTGTTCAAAAAGTTGAGGAAATGCTATGTTCCAGTAAGGTGAAGAAAAAAAGCGCTCAACCGTGAATCTCACTACTCCATTAAGGAATGACTGTCGTGAACAGCATGCTGATTGACTCGACCAAAGTTTCAGCCAAATTTTCGCTCTTCTATTACACATACCGTAAGGTCCAAAAAGCTTTTTATGTGAGTTAGGGAGCTTCCAGACCGCGCAAGTTGCCGCTTTTGCAGCCGTTACCCGCTTTCGCGCTGGTTGCCGCTATTGCAGCCGAAGCGCAGCGGATTAGGCCATTGTCTCTCTGGCGCGTGTGCGGCGCGAAAACTCACTAATTTATCGAATTTTTTGTGTTTTTTCCACCTGTTTCCCAATTTGTCTTTTACAGGCTGGTTTTGAGTTACAAGTTTTTGGATGGTGGTTGCGCGAAGGCCTGAAAGATCACATTGAGGACAGATGCGCTAACGATCGCCTACATTCAGCTGGAGTTTACAAAACGACCTGTTGATTGCTTTTTTCCAGGCTTTATTAAGCTCAAGATTTGTGCTTTTTGTGAATGATGCGGTTTTGAAAGCTGCATGCAATGTTTAAGCCCATTTGTGCAAATCCATGCTGTGGCCGTATTCATCAACGAACCCTGAGGGTTAAATTTACCCCCAGGGTTAGTCTAACCCTCAGGGTTCATTGGCCGTATTCATCAACCATAGGGAAGGGTTTGCCACCGAACGCAATCCACCCGTATCGATCAACGAACCTGTGGCCGTATTCATTAAAGGCAGTGTCCACGCAAAAAGTCGATTTTGTTCTTACCTGGGCTTATTCGCTATGCTGAATCCGAAAATCACAACTGGAGAGCGCGAAAACGGCGAAAAAAGGCTCTAACGGAGGAGGGAAATTGCAGGTGGGCGGGGCTGTTCACATAGTGGCGTCACTTTCCCAGCTTCAGAAGCGATCTTCTCGCTTCCGCTAAGCGCACTAACATCACCACCATCCAACTGCGAAACGCATGACATAAAATCGGAACCGAGAAGATCGCTCCTAAAGCCTGGGAGAGTGACGTCGCGGTGTGAACGGCCCCGCCCACCCGCGATTTCCCTCCTGCGTTAGGGCCTTTTTTGCGTTTTCGCGCTCTCCATTGTGGTTTATCGGATTCAGCATGGCGAATAGGCCCGGGTAAGCACAAAATCTCAAAATCGACTTCTTGCATGGACACTGCCTTTAACGAACCCTATGGTTGATGAATACGGCCAATGAACCCTGAGGCTCCCGCCAGAGTGCCGAAGTTATGCCAGCGCTACGCCCATTTCGATCGATACCCCTGTATTTCGTTGGGGCGGGGCTAGCTGACGTCCCCAACGAAATACACGTGTATCGATCGAAATGCTGGCGTACGCTGGCATAACTTCGGCACTCTGGCGGGAGCCTGAGGGTTAGACTAACCCTGGGGATAAAGGCGTCAGTTGCGCTTGCGCTGTGCAAACTCACATCACAGAATGCCTAAGTACGTGCTAAATTCACTTTATGCTTCTATTCTTGCACTGCAGTGGCGTACCGAGGGGGGGGGGCGGGGGGGGCGCGCGCCCCCCCCGAGAACGGGTCGCGAAATTTTTGAAAATTACCTACATGCGTTATAAAAATGTGCAAATGACTTGTTTATTTTTGTAAACAATTAAAATAATTTTTAAAATTTTTTAAAAATTCAAATTAGCCTTATAAAAAAAAATTTTTCGGGGGCGTGGCTGACGCCACGCCCCCTTTTTCCAGATTTTATGGGTTTGCGGCCCGCAAAATTGTTGAGAAGCTCCCCTAAAAATTTTTCGGAGTGCGTGGCTAACGCCACGCACCTTCATTTGAAAATTTTTTTTGCCGCGCCCCCCCCGAGCCGAAATCCTGGGTACGCCACTGTTGCACTGTTATAATAGTATAATCAACGAATAAGCTTCCAACACTAGTTTTAATAACACATCTCTAGCATATCTGTGCAATATCCAAACTCACAGCGTGATTGTTTTCATGTGTGCAATTGTGCCGTGTAAGTTCTACTTTTGCGCTGTTCGTTCTACACCGGGCTTGTGCTACTCTTTTAAGGCTCAATGCGTGTTATTATAAAGTGGTTCTTCTGTTTTGGCACTTGTCAAAATGGAATGCGCAACCATTTTTCCTCGTCGCATTCATTTGTCACCAAAGCTAGAATTCTTTTTCTCGCGAACTCAGTGTTTCATGTACTTCGAATTTGAACATAAAACGAAGTCGAAACTAAGTACTATACAATACTCTAATACTGAATACTACAATACTCGTTGATCGATTTTCATAAAACTACTAGATGTGAGTGAATGTTTGTATGAAGTGTCAGGGTAGAGTTAACCTTGCTCTAAGCTAGGGTTAAATCAACCCTGATGCTTGCGTAAGTTTACCCTCCAGGGTTAGTTTAACCCTCAGGATTCGTTGATGAATACGGGTTAATCGCTTTCGGGGTAAGGTTTACCCTCAAGGGTAGATTTAACCCTCAGGGTTAAGCCTACCCTGTGTTTCATGAATACGGGTTAATTGCTTTCCAGGGTTAAACTAACCCTCCAGGGTTAGTTTAACCCTCAAGGTTCGTTGATGAATACGGCCACTGATGCATGAACCGAAGCATGGAAAAACCGAGTCACTCACAACATATATGGAACTTGAGCGTAAATGTTTCATGCTCTATTGGTGCTGCTGGTTACTTATTTTCTCGTTTTTCTGTTAAAGGCACCGTCCACCCTAAGTTGAGGGTGTTGAGCTTTTGGCAGCATATAATAGTAGGGTCCCCTATCAATCCAATGCCCAAGCCGCGGCGCAAAATGCTGCTTCGGAAGCGAGAAAATCGCTTCGGAATAGCAAAGATGCACGAGGACCCCCATCCATGCCCGCCCCTTTGTGCGCGCCCATCGCCCAAGCCGGCCTGTGGATCCTTCGGAACGGGGATTGTCGGGGTTTTCGCGCATTTTCGACTTCATATTCGGAATCAGGGACATGAGAAGGACCTGAAACGACTAAAACATGGAAGTCGAAAATCTGGGTGGACGGTGCCTTTAAGCTCGAATTTCACATTTTTTGTGGAGACGCGGTTTTTATACCCTTACGTCCGTGCGCCGTCATGGATTTGCACAATTCTTTACTATCGTACCGAGCTTTTCAAACGCCCCACTACAAAAGTATAGAACTTGAGCTAAACTGAAAAAAATGAACAATCCACTTTGTAAATTCCAGCTGAATGTTGGCAAGGCTTAGCCCTTCTGTCCTCAACGGCGACATTTTAAGTCTTCTAGCAATCACTACCCTAAGACTTGTACCTCAAAGTCAGCCTATAACAGACAAATTAAGAAACAGATGAAGAAACACAGAAAATTCGATAAATCATTGAGTTTCGGCGCCGCACATGCCCCAGGGAGGCAATGGCCTGACCAACTGCGCTTCGGCTGCAGTAGCGGCAACCGGCGCGAAAGCGATTAACGGCTGCAAAAGCGGTAACCGGCGCTGTCTGGAAGCTCTCTTAGATGTGGTTTCCGTGATCAGCATTCCAAATTACCTCAACGAGCTCTACAAAACATTCTCATTACATTTCTAGTGTTTCCTAACGTGTAAAAAGCATGATTTTCAAACGTGACTGACTTGGACACAAAAGTGAAAAAAGTCAGCTTTTTGTATTTATTATGAGGTATTACTCCTTAACAGTCTGCGATAGGAATTGGACTTCATATCGCTTCCAAACAATGGATTAAAAAGTGCTGCCAAAATGTTAGTCACCGCGTTTTCTATCTCGAATGCTTCAACTCCACCGATCACTACAAGGCCAAAACAAGTCGAGGTAAGCTCGAACACGTGTTGTAGAATCTTCGAGGTTTATGCTAGCGAATCATATAAAGGTAAGGTGGAAAAGCTTCTTTGTTGATAAAGTTAATCGGGTCAGGCACAATCCCTCAAAGGTCAGGCCGCTTGAGCTTTTGAGGGGTTGCGCCTGACCCGCCTTGCCTTCAAAATCCAAAAATCGCTCACTTCTTGACATGAGTATTGAGCTCATAGGTTCTGTTTGAAATTTTGAAGCCTAACGCCCCACCCCTAGAAAAAAATAGGGCTCTTTCAGTAAGCCCATTTAGATCAAAATCAGCCGTCGAACTACGTGTGAGTAAAGTGCTGTCACAAAACCTGAAAACTTTCTAGAAAAGGATGATGTCTTCAGAGTGTTACGCTCTGAGGTTCCGGAGGTTGAGAGGAGGAAGAAGGGGTCGTGTGAGGGCTTTCAAGGGAGGGGGGGGGGGGTGTTTTCGAAGGACTTGCGCCTGACCTCTTTCTCAACTCTGGTCATAATCATATCCCGGATCAAATCTAGATTCGATCTAGTTTTTGTCCGCAATACGGGACTTGTTACGTCCCATATGGCAAACACTCCAAGCTTTTAAAGATGAAATCTTACGCAATAATTCTGAGAAAGATTGACAACGTCTGGATTAGCGTTCAACATATTCATCACATTGGCACCAATGGTTGCGGTGTATCGTGTGAATAAGAATATGAGCAGTATGATGCTCAAGCTGCGCATCGACCTTTTTTGCTCTTGTTGATTTGTTTGTTTCCTATCTAGAATGCTTGTATCAGTGATGAAATTTGCACCACTCCACCTGAGTATATTATGCCCTAAGGGAG